TGGAAACCTTGTATCAACTAATTCTTTGGAAAAGAAGATTGATGATCTTGAAAAGGATCTAGCAAAGGAGCGACAAGAAAGCCTGAGGCTTGTGAGGATAGCCCAAGACAAAGAAGAGTTGATTGGGAAATTAAAGGAGGAAATTGATTTATTAAATAGGGAATCTAGATGATATAGATTATAGAAGATGAAAATGAGCAATTAAGGCAGGAAAATAAGACACTGCTAAAAGTTTTTCCTAAGTCTGGTCTATCTTATAGGGCTGACAGATGTAACTAATGTTTTGCTTTTAACTTAGCAAACTTTACAGTGTCCTTATGCACCAAAGACAAATCCCTTGTGTGTCCAATCACACTTGGCCAATAAAGAATTCTATTCTATTCTGATAAAGATCAGTAATTGTATACTTGATAGACTGTGGGAGAGGAAAAACTTTGCTGGAGAGGAATTCCCTGTAAATTAAATAGAAGTGATTTATCGGGACGAGGACTTGGCTTCATGCTGCTGGGGAAACCTAGATCAGAAAACACTGAGATTGGGCTCAGTTATGGTCATAAGTTGAGGACCCCCTGAGTAGCTTTTATAATAAAAGCCTCCATGATATTGATATTCTAGCTTGATCTACCTCCTTCCAGGTCAAAAAGGGATGACCACCGACACCGAAGTCATAGAAAGTGCCCAGCTTCCGGAAAAGACAGAACTTCAGACTCCCGGAAAAGGACACGGGATGAGTCCACACATTACTTCCCAGCCAAGAAGAGGCATGACACGGATTCAGACAATTGACCCAACCTTGTAAAACAAACCCAGATTTACCCATCATGTCGATGCTTTGACCGTCAAGCGGAAACGAATTCTGGTTTGGTTCAAAATTCCGCATCCTTTTTCTTGACGGGACATTGTTCTCCCCCCACATCCATTGGCACCGCTGCTCAAAAATTATTATTATTATTTTTCTCAAAAGGATCCTGTTCTTTAACGGACATAAAAAAATAGCCATGCTAACCTGGTTCAGAGCAAGACGGTAAAACTATCGCCAAATGCCAGGTGCAAAATAAGGAATGATGAGAAGTTTTTGTTTTTCCTCCCAACGTTGGTTAAAAAGAACTCTTTGATGGCTTGCGTAGAATTTTTTTTTTTAAAGCAATAGAATTTGGGGGATCCCAGGTAACGGGAGTTACTTCCAAGTTGCGAAAAATCCGATTCTGAATTTCATCAGGCCAAACCAAGGAATGGAAACAGTTTATGGGATTTGTTGGGGTTTTTGTGTGTGTGTGTGTGTGTGTGGTTGCGACTGTCAGCCGATTTCAGAAGCAGCCTCAGATCTTGTAATTAAAGAACAGATTGATTACAGGTATTTTCTTTAAATTGAATCATTGGGATCAGATCAGCACCTTTCTTCTCTCTTGACAAAACCGTCAAGGTGTCGGCTGCTGATGTGTCTTCCAAGCTAAAATTATATTCCGCATTTTTTCTCTTAGGTCCAGGAATTTTGGGGCATTATGCCAACTCCAGAAGAAGAAAACGTATGGCAAAGGGATAAATGTATTTAATCTTCAAGGTGTTAATGATCTTGGCTTATTTTTTTTCCCAGCAGGCTGCCTCACTGCCGATTTTAAAACTTCTTCTTTTTGCAATTTAAAAATTACGAATCCCTTTGCAGTTTACAAATCCTGCACCCTTTTGCAGCTTACAAATTCCAAGCCCCTTTGAAATTTAAAAATTAGAAACCCTTTGCAGTTTAGAAATGTTGAACTCTTTGCAACTTACAGATTCAAACTCCTTTGCAGTTTACAAATTGCAATTTTTTTTTCAATTTTCAAATTGCAAACCCTTCTGCAACATACAAATTCAAATCCCTTTGAAGAGGGGACTTCAACCATCCTCAGAATTCAAAGAGAATTTAACCTCAGGGAATCCTCCACTTACAACCATTTGTGTAGTGGCCACGCTAAGTGACAGACTCACTTAACAGTGTGACTAACTCAACGGCAGGGATTCACTTAACAACTGTGACAAGAAAGGTGGTAAAATGGGGGCAAAACTCACTCAACAATGGAGATTTTTGGGCTCCCTTGTGGTCATAAGTCAAGGACTACCCATACATGTCCCAGATTGACTGAATAACCATGTGATTAACTGAACAACAGCAATGATTCGCTTACAGGAGTGGCCAAAAATATAAAATGGGACAAATTTAGCAACTGCCATGCTTAACAACGGAAATATTGGAATCAATTGTTGTCATAAGTAGAGGACTACCTGTAAAAATCTTAACCTATTTGGTATTATATATGTTGTTTTTTTCCTGATTTTCTGATATAATTGCATCAGGTTAGACAGCTGGTTTGAATTTGCTTCCCAAAAACGGGAGAAAAACAGAAAAAAATGGGAGCATTGCTCCCTTTAATTAAAATGTAATTATTAATTAAAAATTAAAATTCGTGTTCAGATTAACCAAGAACTTCAGAAAATAACATTTTAATGGCTTTTTAAATGAAGGTTTTGGAGTATTTTAAATTCTCCACACCAAACGCCATGAGTCTCTTCATCTCGTTTTATCTCATCTTTTTTAAAATTTGGGGAGCCATCCCAAGTCATGTCAGGGTGAGATAGGCAGTGCCTAAGTTTAATTGAACAATAAATGAAATAAACCTGAGGATAAAATCCATGGGGGTGAGGGACCAAATATATGCATTGAGAAGTGGGGGGAAATAACAGGGAGCCATAAAAGCAACATATAGAAATTAAATAAGGAAGGAAGGAAAGAAAAGAGAAAAGGAAGGATGGAAGAAAAAAGGGAAGGAGAGAAAGAAAGGAGAGGAAAGGAAAAGAAGGCATGAAAGAAAGAAAAAAAGACAAAATGAAAGATGGAAGGAAAAGATGAAAAAAGAGAAGGGAAGGAGGAAGAATGAAAAATGAAGAGTAAGAAGGAAAGAGGAAAAAGGAAGAAAGAGTAAGAAGGAAGAAGGATGTACACAAGAAAAAAGGAAAAAAAGAAAGGTGGGAGGAAGGAAGAAAAAGAGAAAAAGGAAAAAAATGAACTCAGAAAAGTTTTTTTAAAAACTGGGTCTTCTCCCCCCCAGGCCCCATGCTTTTAATTGCAAGAAAATTGTTGTGTATGTCTGTCCTACAGTCAGTCCAGGACTCGAAGGATGCTTTTCACTCAACAAATTGCTTTATGAGAGGATGCTGGCTGGACCATAAATCCGTGCAATTGAGGTCTTTTTTTTTTTATAAAGCATATTTCTCTGCTTAGCACTTCAGGGCTGGCTGGTGCTGGTGCCTCCCGCTGTAAGGGGGAGGAGCAAGGAGAGGAAGTGGGGCCCAAGGACCCCCCAATAACCTCCTTACATAACAAAGTTGGTGAGAAGGGAGGAACTTCTCACCTACGTGTTAAGTGGGGGGAATCCCGTGAGAAAAGCCACTTTATGAACAAAACCGGGGGTCATAAGCCCCCCAGGAGAGGGCGGTCTCACTCCCACTCCACCCCCCCCTCCAAAAAAACGGGGGACAGAAAAATGTGAAATTAGGGTGTCGTAAAAGAACAAAACCAAGCCACACACAGGCAGAGGATGCTGCCAAAAACAAGAAATGCCATTGTTGCTTGCAAACAAAAAAAATGTGGAATTTATACTAGAAATATCCATTTAATGTGGTCTTGGATGACACAGCTTTGGCCAGGAATTAGGCTCCCTATCCTAGCAACAGAAATTTTGGCCACATTTGTGGTCATAAGTCAAGGACGACTTGTATGCAAAGGAATCAAGAGACTTTTATCCTCACAATAATTGTTCAAAAAATTTGGAGAAAAAAAACTGGCCAAAGAAAATCGGGCAGATCCAGTAGGGGGCAGCAGAGAATTGAATACAGGAAAAGCCCAGCATAGTTGGAAAGGGAGTTGATGAAATCAACTTTTGACGATGGGATTTGAAGAGTATGGATTGGAAGTGGCTAGAAAAATATTGTGGGCTTTTTTTTTTTAAATAGACATTCATATTTGATCATTGATTAGATTAAAATTAAGGAAAGGGTGTATTATGAACATTTTTTCAGAAAGTTGGTCATTAGTTTAAGGTATTTAAAATATTGATTATTCATTTAAACTTTTGAGTTTGTTGTATGATTATCTTTGTACTAAAACAGCTGGGTTCCTTTCCTTCCTTCCTTCCTTCCTTCCTTCCTTCCTTCCTTCCTTCCTTCCTTCCTTCCTTCCTTCCTTCCTTCCTTCCTTCTCCCTCCATCCCTTTTCTTTTGCTTTCTATCTGCCTTTCTGAACCTTCTCCCTCCATACCTACTTTCCTTTCCCTTCCTTTCTTTCTAGCTCATCACTCTTTCCTTTTTTCTTTCTTTCCCTCTTTTTTCTTTCACTTCCTCCTTTTTATGCTTCTCTTCTTTTTCTTTATTTCCTTCCTTCCTTTCTCTTCTTTCTGTGTTTTTTCTTTTTCTATTTGCTCTCTCTTCTGTCTATCTTCCTTCCTCTCCCCTTCCTCCATCACTTCTTTATTTCTGTGTTTCTTTGTTTCTTTTCTCTCCCCCTCCTCTTCTCTCTCCCCCCTTCTCTTTCTTTCTTTCATAGTACTTGGGAATTCTGGGAGTTGAAATTGACACATCTTAAAAGTCACCAAGATTGAGAAACACTGCTTTAAAGGTATTAAAAAATTATTTTTAAGTTGATTTGGAAATGGACTTATATGTCTGGAGAGAGAACTCTGAAGCACAATTTTTTTTCAGCCCCTTCGCACACTCAATGAATTACGATCCACTAAATTGTTGTAACCACTGATCTTAAGCAAGGATTCTGGAAATTCAGAATAAATAAACCAAGGAGCTGTTGGGGGGACTTGAATTTAGCCACGGATATAAGATTATAAAAATACTGTCATTAGGGAAGATTCACAGTTGATGTGCCATGGAAAATTCTGCACATAGAGATGAAAACATCTGCAAGAAAACCACCAAGGGCCCCACAATCATGGTTAAATCATGGCTTAGTCGATTGCAGGCGGATGTCGTCAAATCACAATTGATGCCATTTACATGCAGAGAACTGGGGTTGAAAACACACGCCTGCTAACCCCAACAGGTTAATTTCTCTTCTGCTAGCAAAATGGGCGTTTCTACGAAGGAAAACTACTCCAGACTTCGTTTTAGAACATAGAATAGGGTTTGGAAGGGACCCTAGAGGTCTTCTAGTCCAACCCCCTTGTGGTACTCTGAGCTAGAAGCTATTCTTTTTCACCAGAATGCCAGGGGCATTTTAAGGGCTTATTGGCCCATCATGCTAATGAGAGTTTCTATTTTTACAGTTGTGAGTAGCAGAGGGGGGAAAAAAACGTTTTGATATATTCCTCCCTCCACCCTTTTTTTCTTCTTCCAATGAGAGTCCGGTTTCCTGCCAGTCATTTAATCTGTGAAGTCTTTGTGTAAATTTGCATCTCTAATTAAAACTTAATGATTGGTGGCAGGAGGCCTTTGATAGATAGAAAGCATCTGGTTAAGGAGCATCTTCTGTCAGAGACCACTGGTGCTCATAGGCCTGGTTAAGGATGTAATTTTAATTGTTAGGTAAAGCAGTGGTTGTGACTCTTCCAATGCCACCTGGCCTCAAATCCTCGGGGACCCTTCCCAATTTTTGTGGAGAGGCAGCCTGGCCCTTGGGGCTTGACACAAGGGGCTTCCGTGGACAAGCTGGGAACGGAACCTTGGTTTCCAAGTTTCTAGTCCACATGCTCTCTGATATCTGGAGGAGACACACGTTTCCTCACAAAAAAAAAGTCAAGGCCTTTCCCTCTTCAGCTGAAGGTACGGGTAGTCCTCACTTAACGACCGGTTGGTTTGCAACTGTCAGCTGAGTGCGAAGCATCGGCTGCGGTCATAATGCTTGGGATGTCCCAGGCACCTGGCCGCGTGAGTTTTGTGACCAGTTGCGGTGTTTTGCGCTTGTGTGATTGCAATTCACAATGTCTTTTTTTAAATTAGTTTTTGGTAAAAAAAAACCAAACCCAACACATCAATTCAAATGAGTGAGATTCCTTAACCACCACCAAGAAAAAAAAAAAGACTTCGGGGGTCCTGTCTGTGCTTCAAGTTATGACTGTAATTCTGGGCACAATTATTGGTTGTTGAGGCCAATTTGTAGTTGAGCATCATCAACCTTTCTGCCTTGCGACGCAGCCAAGCGTCTCATTTTTACCCAGCACTCTTAACATAATCAGGTTGGGAGAGATTTTAAAGGTCTTCTAGTCCAGCCCTCTGCTCAGGCGAGAGAACCCACACCAGAGGTGTCAAAACTCACAGCCGGATGTGTCACATGTTGGCCACACCCACTCCGCTTTAGCAAAGGGGGCGGGGGAGTTGCAATACGTCGCATGACGACACAAAACACTCTTCCATGTGGCATCCTGGATAAATGGCTGTGCAATCTTTTCTTTAAAAAACCTCCCTGGTGGCAACCTCTGGAGGGAAGTAGTTCCACTGGATAATTGTTCTGTCAGGAAATTCCTCCTTAGTTCTAGGTTGATTCTCTCCTTGATTTGTTTCCACCCATTGCTTCTTGCCCTGCCTTTGGAGAATAGGTTGATCCCCTCCCCTTTCTTTGGGGGGTAACCCCTCAAATATTGGAAGGCTCCTATCATGCCAAACCTGGTTTTTTCCCATTAAACTAGACATACCCAGCAACTGTTTTGGCCTCCAGTTCCCTAATCCTCTTTGTTGCTCTTCTCTGCACTCTTTCTAGAGTCTCCACATCTTTTCTACATCGTGGTGACTAAAACTGGATGCAAATATTCCAAGTGTGGCCTTTCCAAGGCCTTATATAAAGTAGTATTAACCCTTCACTTGATCTTGATTCTCTCCCTCTGTTGATGCAGCCTAGAGCTGTGTTGGCTTTTTTGGCAGCTGCTGCACACTGCAGGCCCATACTTCAGTAGATCCCTTTTCTCTTAATGGCACAGCTGTCCTCCAGCATCCCTGAGAGAGAACATGTGGGACAGCTTGAGGACCATAATAAAATAAGAAGAGTTGGAAGGGGCCTCAGAGGTCTTCTAGTCCAATCCTCCACTTGAGCAGGAGCCCCTATACCCATGATGGCAAACCTATGGCACATGTGCTACAGATGGTGTTGGAATTCATTCCGGGCGTTTGCGTGCAGGGCAGCTTCTGCTGTCTGAAACACACATACACAGGGATG